AAATGTTCTGAATATATCTGTTAAGTGCATTTGGTGTAGTATGTTGTTCAAAACCATTGTTTCCTTGTTGATTTTCTGCTAAATCATCTGTCCATTGCTGTGAGCAGGGTGCTAATGTCCCCTATTATTATGATATTATTATTGATGAGTTTCTTTAGGTTTGTGATTGATTTATATATTTGGGTCCTCCATGTTGGGGGTCCTCCATGCTTGGAGCATAAGTATTTACAATTGTTAGATCTTCTTGATGGATACACCCCCCTATTAAGTATGATATAATGCCCTTCTTTATCTCTTGTTACAGTCTTTGTTTTAAAATCTAGTTTGGGTTGCTTTGGCACAGTTGGTTAATCGTCCAGCTTCAATTCAGGTCATGATCTTGTGGTTTGTAGGTTTGGGCCCTGCATTGGGCTCTGTGCTGACAGCTTGGAACCTGGAACCTGCTTTGGATCCTGTGTCTCCCTCTCTGTCTGCCCCTTCTTCTCCTCCTCCTCTCACCCTTTGTCCCCGCCTCCTCCCTCTTTCTCCCCCCTCTCAAAAATAACCATTGAAAGTACTTTTTAATAAAAGAATAAAATCTAGTTTGTCTGATATAAGTATGGGTATTCTGGCTTTCTTTTGACACCCATTAGCATGATGGTTCTCCATCTCCTCACTTTGTAAATTTTTTTTTAATGTTTAGTTATTTTTGAGAGAGGAAGGGAGACAACAGATCCAAAGCAGTCTCCAGGCTCTGAGCTCTCAGCAGAAGTGGACGCAAGGCTCAAACCCATGAACTGTGAGATTATGACCTGAGCTAAAGTTGGACATTCAACTGACTGAGCCACCCAAGCACCCCTCCATCTCTTTACTTTAAATCTGCAGGTGTATTTAGGTCTAAAATGAGTCTTGTAGGCAGCAAATAGATGGATCTTATGTTGTTTATCTATTCTGATTTTGATTGGAACATTTAGTCCATTTACATTCAAGGTGATTATTGAAAGGTATGAATTAATGCCATTGTGTTACCTGTAGAGTTGGTGTTTCTGGTGATGCTTTCTGGTCCACTCTTGTTTTTGTTCTTTTGGTCTTTTTTCTTCACTCAAAGAATCACCCTTAAAATTTCTTTCAAGGCTGGTTTAGTGGTTACAAACTCTAGTTTTTGCTTGTCCGGGAAACTCTTTATCTATGCTCCTATTCTGAATGACGGCCTTGCTGGATAGAGTACTCTTGGCTGCCTATTTTTCCCATTCAAAACATTGAATATATCCTGCCACTCCCTCTGGCCTGTCAAGTTTCTGTGAACAGATTTGCCATAAACCTGATCTGTCTTCCCTTCTAGGTTGAGGACTTTTTTTTCTTGCTGCTTTCATGATTCTTTCCTTGTCTCTGTAATTTGTGAATTTGACTCTGATATGCCTTGGTGATGGCCAGCTTTTATTGAATTTAATGCAAGTTCTCTGTGCTGCTTGGATTTTTAAGTCTGCTTCTCCAGATTAGGGAAGTTTTCAGCTATAATTTGCCTATATAAACCTTATGCCCCCTTTTCTCCTTCTCTTCATCTTCTGGGACTCCTATCATATGAATGTTACTACATTTTAATAAATTATTGGATTCTCTTGAGTCTGCCTTCATGATCCCTGACCTTTGTTTCCCTCTCCTTTTCAGTTTTAATCTTTCCCATAATTTTAACTTCTGTGTCACTAATTTGCTCCTCTGCTTCATCCATCCTTGTTTTTATGGCCTTCATTTGGGTTTACATCTCAGTTATAGCATTTTTAATTCCAGCCTGACTAGATTTTAGTTCTTGTATGTCATCAGAAAGATCTTCTCAAGCCCAGCTAGTATCCTTATAATAAAGTGTAGTTCAGACATCTTATATCTGCATTGATTAAATCCCTTGTCATCACTGCTTCCTATTCTTCCTTTTGAGGTGAATTCCTCCATCTTAGGCTTTTGGAGGAGGAAAAAATAATAATAGAATGTAATAAAATTTAAATTTTTTAAAAAATCAAATAAAAGAAGCTAGATCTTAGGTGCTTTAAGAAAAGCTTTATTAAAAAAACAGAAAAATCAAAAATCAAAAAATTAAAAATAATAAAATAAAAAATTTTTTTTGCTCTTGTGGTATCCAAGAAACAAAAGAAAACAACAACAAAAACAGAAAGAAAAAAAAATTGATTAAGCAAAAAAAAAAAAAAAAAAACCCATATGAAGCTAGATCCACTTTCCCCTAGAACTGAAACGCAGCAGTCTATGTACAGTAGAGTAAGCACATGGAAGGGATTTTTGCTAATGTTTTAGGAGAGGGGCCTGGTGCTCTGATTTCTTAGGTTAACTTGCCCTAGCAGAGATGTGCCTGGAATGTGCAGGTAGTGGAGCTGCCTTCTCCACTGTTTAGCTTACTAGGGTGGATCTATGTTGGACTAATAGTGAAAATGGCTTAATCCTCCTCTCTAGTCTCTAGATTGTGAAGTTTGCACCCTCACAGCCAGTGGTGAAACACCCTTCCTGTGTCTGCCCCTTCCATCAGCTCCTTGCTTTCCCCCTGCCTGTGTCCGAACTGTCTGCCTACCAGGTGGCACCTTCTTCCAGAGTTTTATCTCAGACGTGGCTATATTTCAAAACCCCACACTTCAGGGACACCAAGAGCTTGGACCTGCAGTGATCCTCTGGGGAAGGTCTCCCCACATTGGCTGGTACAGGCTTATCCCAGGAAACAGTCACATAACTGTGCAGTAGCAGCAGCTCATAGTTTATGGTAAATCGCAACACACAACCAACACCAGGGTTTGCTGCCCTCAGTCAGAGTCTTTGTTCCCATATGGGGAATGTGGCAGCTTGATGGCACCTGGGGGGTCTTTTGCCTGCAGAGAGGCCATATCACCTCTACCAAATGCACTCCAACAAGGGGAAGTGCTTCTCTTCTTGTGATCAAGGGGATCCTTAGACCCTGTTGCCCACTCCTGGGGCTCCATCCTGCTTCCTCACCAGAGCACCACCAGTCACAGACCTCTGAAACTTCAGACTCTGCTCCACTGTTTATAGAAACTGGTAGTATTGAAACCTTCTCCTTCTTCCCGTCAGTGGTTTGGGGAACCATTTTCTTGTGCAGTCCCCTGTGCATTTTCACTATTCCTGTCTTTCAGGAGTAGTGCTTTCTTGCACAAACCCAATATTCTGCCCTCTCTTCCCCCACCACTCTGTCTTTCTGCTCTCCACACAAAGGGCTCCCTCCCCTCCACAGCACCAAGGCTCTTCTCTCCCCCAGGTCACCTCTCTGCACTATGTGCCTCCTATGTTCTCTCTCTCGATTATGCAGATTGTTCTGTTAATCCTCTGATCAATTTCCTAGGTATTCAAAATGGTTTGATCTTGATCTAGCTGTGTTTGAGGAAGGAGACAAGCCCAGGGTCCCCTTACTACTCTCCCATCTTAACTACTAGCAGCATGACTTGGGAGACCAACATTCAACTGACTAAAGCATAATATTCCTATACTTCATAGAGTTGTTAATATAAATGTTCCCTAATAATATATGGAACACTTAGTACAGTGCCCAGTTCAAAACAGGTACTCAGTAGGGGGTGGTTGTGGATCCAGGAGTTAGTAGGGTATGAGGAAATGAACTACTGAGTTTGTACAGCTTTTTGATAAAAGTTTTACCATAAAGTAAGGGCAACAGAGGACAGTAGCTGGTAGTAGACAAAGGGCTGAGTGTTTAAAAAAAAAGAAAAGAGAAAAAGAGTGATTTGAGCTGGTATTAAAGCTCCCAGGAAGGTTTCTCTATAGGACTGTGAGCTTCAGATGACATGAGGTGTACATTGATGGTGAGCCCTTGAGGCAGGAACAGATCTAGATGTGATTCCCATGTCTATATGTAATTGGTGCCCAGGGTATGTTTCTGACCTTGCCAGTGAATGCTAGTACTGGGTATATAATTGTGCCATGTCTGATGAGAAGAGGCGAGAATGAAGATTCCTGTGTCCTGTCATCAGTGAGTCTGTTTAACGCTGAGTATAATGATTTCCCTGAGATGTTCTCTCAAAGTCAAACAACTGTCTCCCCACAGGACAGAGCTCAGGCTATGTACAAGCTGCTGTGAGGTCTGCTAATAATAAGAGGGCATTGGAGAGAGCACCAGAACTCTCTGAGATTTAAAAAAATAAAAAGATGCTACAATTTACTTTGAAATTCCTTGGTTAGATGAAGAAATGAGAATGTGCCCACTTTCCCCTAAAGGCAGAGAAGCAAGGGTTGAGGAGTTTACCTAGATAAAAAAAAAAAAAAAACCATGCCCTGAGTACGTGCTAGGTCAGTCTTAGCATCCCAGGTTACAACAAGGAGATGAATAAAAAGAGGAGAGTTGGAAGCTCCAAAGTGGGGACACTTGAATAGGGGTGGTAATTTATTAAGATTCCATCTCTGGCCTGCAGTCATTGTGAGACATAAACGCCCCCCAAAGTTAGGGAGTGCCAGCTTGAAAGGAAGCTTGAGTGGATGGGCAGCTTTCTTGCCTGAACACATGGAGTCACGTCTAAACAGCTTACCATGGCATAGGAGAAGTCCTGAAGGTGGAAAATGAGGCTCAGACAAATGCAGTCGTATTATTTCTTTGATATCTTATTGTTATTTTGACCTGTGGTAAATCCAAAGTAATTGAGCTAGAAAATAAAACCTAAGTCTTAAATAGCTTAGCTGTAGAAATCCCTTAGGGAGAAAAATATCCCACATTTCACCTAAAAAGTTGGTCTGATATTGTCAAGACTTTCATTTCTCTTTTGGTGAGTGTCATGGGTTGGGCTCCCTGGAAGCAGACCTTGAACCCTTATATGAGGAGTCTTTGAGCCTTTAGACAAGCAACGTGTTAGGAAGCAATTCCCAGGAAACCTGCAGGGGCATGGGGAGGAAAAGAGGCCCCACAGAGGCTGACGGATACAATATCAAGGAAAGCCCCACAGAGGCTGACATGAGGTTAGTTTCTCTTGTGAGCTCTAGTAGGAGTGCAGATCACACCCCATCATGAAAGACAGAGATAGAATGTTGTATTCCTGGATCCGGGAGTCCTTGGATGTGCCACACACTGGGTTAAGCACTTTAAACTAGCGACATAGCTGGCCTTGCCTCCATTTCTGCTGCTGCATCCAGTTCCTGGCAGTTGCCTGCAGGGGGATGCACAGGTGGAGACCAAAGTGAGAGTAGGCATGAACTATGTGAGTACAACCTTGGATCTGACAGCGAAGAGAAGGGCTGGAATAGCAAGGATGGAGCCAGGGATTAAGGCTGAGTCTTATGTAAACCCTTAACCCCAACATTCTTACCTTGAAGAAGTCCTGAGCAATAACCCTGGCTATATCAAACTGCCAAGACCAGGCAGCCCAGAACATCTCCAAGACAATTGCCACATCACAGAACCATATCTCTTTCACTGCTGACAACCTTGTCCTGAACCTACAGGATGAAAGTTTTACATGCGCAATGACAGCCTCATCGAGGGTAAGAAATGAGAGCCTGGTCACCGGGAACTCCATGCCCAGAGAAGAAGTGGATCTGCTTCTCCCCTGGTTTTTGAGGAGCCAGTTGGAGTCCAGCACACTCCCATCCTGCCTCTAGTATCATGTGATGGTCCCTTCTGCATCTGTTCTCCCAAACCTTCTTGGATGAACAAAATCTGACCAATTTTCAGTGAAATGATTTTGCTCCTTCCTCTGTTGGCCAGAGGTGCTGGGACCGTGTGATTTCTAAGTGATTTCCTACAATGTTGGTTCTTCCTTCCAGGTTGGGAGGCAATAACCAGCAACACAGAAATTCTCAATAGATTTTTATTACTTAAAAAAAAATTGGAGGGACACCTGGGTGGCTAAGTTGGTTAAGCATCCATTTCAGCTCAGGTCATGATTTTGTGGTCTTGGGATCAAGGCCCACATCAGGCTCCGCGCCGAGCACAGAGCCTGCCTAAGATTATTTCTCTCCCTCTCTCTTGCTTCTCACACATGTGCTGTCTCTCTCAAAGAAAAAAAAATTTATTTTGTGGCATACATGTTACTACATTTAATGCATTTAACACACGCAAAGCATTTAGAACAGTGCCATAAACGTTGGGTTATTTTCATTCTTACCATCACCATCCCCTCCCCTACTCCTCCCATTAATCTGGACTTAAAGTAAAACCTCACTTCTCTTTCATTCCTAGGATTTTGCTTTCATTTTCATACTTCATATTACAAATACGAATTACTACATCTCCCTCCTAACCCCTACTAGTCCCTCTCATAAATCTCATTCATTGACAACCAGTCTGGATGTTCTGTCTAAGGGCTGGAGGTGACCAGTGAATGGTTGGTTATGCAGCCATCCATCCATCATGTGGCCCCTCAGTTAGAGATGTCCTGGAAATTCCCCTGATGTGGTCTCATAGGCTTCTTTTGTGCATTATTAAATTGTGATGATAAATGAGTATGACCAGGTATGTTATTCTTTCCCTGGAGATGTGGCTCTCATAGATGCGGTCTCCTTGGAAATGTTTTCCCATAGGTGAATCTTTGGCAGAGTCATTGCCAGTCTAAGAATCCAGATTTCCCAGTCAGTGGGTACTTGAAAACTACAAAGTTCTGAAAGCTAGGAAATTATAGACTTCTGAGGCAGTTATAGTATAATTATAAAGGAAGAAGGGCAGTCTCTGCAGGATATCTAATTGTTTCTATGAGGAAGCTGGTCCACATTTTAGAGAAAAACATTCTTGTGTGTACACCAGGAAATTTAGGAGTTTACCCTTTGATACTATATGAGAATGAGTTGGCTAAATATCAAATGATTTTCATTTTCTTAAAAATAAAAAACTGAATGGTGAGGGGAAAAGGAAGGGAGACATCAGATAAGCAGTTGCTAATCTTGAAAGGGATTAGAGGTCAGGATATTCACATTTCTCCCTTTCTTTCATTTTCCAGGACAGGATTTTTATTCTTTAGAATGTATGGAAAAATCACATGCCTTCAGAATTGAAAGCAAGTTCCGTTACTAATTGCAACTCCATTTCACAGATGAAAAAAACTGATGCTATCCTAAGAGGATAACTTGTCCAGGATCTAAACCTAGTTGATGTGAGGGCAGAGGCTTTAACATGGCTCCCCAGAGTCATGGAGATCCATGGAGACTTCTTCCCAACAGCTTCCTCACTGCCTGGCTCTCACCATCACGTTACTCTAGTTTAAGTTCTGCATAGCAATTGGCTATGATAGAGTTGGCTGATGGAGTTTTTTGCACCTTATTTTTTTATTGTTTATATCTCCATTTGGAAAGTATGCTAAGAACTAATATGCTGTATTTCCAGCATAGAAAGTGCCTAGCAAATGGAAAACCCCCAACAAACATGGTACTAAAATAGAATGAACTGCGCAGAGGGGCAATGGGTAGGTTTCTTGAGTTCTTTCTTGGTCAAGTGAAACTCCATGTAGAGAGAATTGAAATTGTGGTCTAGATTAGCACTGTTCCATAGACATAGAACACAAGCCACAATTTTAGATTTTCTAGTAACCATATTGGAAAAAGTAAAATGAAATTGGTGAAATTAATTTTAATGATGTACTTTATTTAACCCAATATATCCAAAGCATTTTCATTTCAATATATAAAAGATTATTAGTAGTATTTGCTTTCTTTCTTTCTTTTTTTTTTGATACTAGGTCTTTGAAACCCTGCATATAATTTGTACTTAAAACAGATCTCAATGTGGACACTGCATTTTGTCAGAAGTACTTGATTTGCATTTATATTTCATAAAATTTACACTTGAAAAATTAGATTCACCTTAAAATTTTTGTAATACATGAATTAGTCATCCATTTTTACATTTAAATTACTGAAAATCAAATAAAATTTTAAAATTCACTGCCTCAGTCAGACTAGCAACATTTCGAGTTGTGGCTCAATGCCACAAGTGCGAGTGGCTGCACAGACATCTGTTGGTTGCACCAGACTACTGGTTTTGAAGTTGCTTTGCCCTTCCTATCCTGCATCAGCTGTATGGTATAGAGCCTGGTATGTGGGGCAGAACACCAGAGTCTTGTGCCAGGATAGATGACTACCTCTAGCCCACCAATTTCTTGGCCATTGTGTTAAGAAATAGAACTTGCTATATCTTTTTAAGACCTTGAAAGTAAAGTTGCTTTATTCTGATTTGTTCCAGAAGGGCAAAATCAGAGAATGCTCCCATGGTTGAATACAGCACAGTGCACATATGTGCACATCTCTCAAGGCATCAGATTCACAGAGCTTCTCTCAGGGCTTAGAAAACACAAAGAGAATCACAGAAAGGGCAGCCCTGCTCAGGTGACTGTCATTGAGTGATTGCATGTCCTACATGTGCCACATAGAGGCACTGAAAGTTTATCTGTATGGGAAGCCTTTTTTTTTTCTCCTTCTCTGCAAGACCCTGCACTAAGGAGTATCACTCCATTAGAATAGTGTTTTGAGATCCCTACCCCTTCTGTGTGCCATCTCATTCTGACTTCTGCTTCAGTCTTAGCCTGGCAGCACTGCATCTCCCTTAGTTACCAGGAAGCTTAACCATGCAGGGGGCAGAGATGTTATTTCTCACAGTTTTCCTACACTTGTCCAAGAGGCCTGGGTATTGTGCTGTGACCTGATTCTAACAGTAACCCCAAAGGAAACTACTTTGTGGTGTGTGGATCCCTTGGGAGAAGAACAAGGGTCAGTGTTATACACTCAAACATTGGATGTCATGGGCTTTGGTCATGGCTCAAAGTTAATTACCAAGGGACAGTGTTTTTCTTCTAAGAACATTAGCAGAGTAACTCTAATTGAGATATCCAGGGTGAAGATTCCCAGATAGCCAGGGTACCTGATAAGTAGACAAAAGCTAAAGTTTACTGTGGAGAAAACAGTCTCAAATCCTCACAGTTTGTAGGTAGACATTTTCCCAAATGAACAAGCTATCAGGAATGGAATCTTTAGGATACTTTCCTACTTTAATTCCCTCTGTACAACCCCTGGATGGCACTAGACCTTCTGGTATCCTTCTGTTTTCATTTTCTTTCAAGCCACTTTTATCAAGAACCTACTATGTGCTGGGAATTATGGTAGGCACTGGGAATGAAAGGACATGAACCCTTCCTTCCAAGAGTCCCCCAGGTAGTAGAGAGAGAGGCTTCACACAGAAATTAGAGTATAAATGTAATTAATGTGATCCTTTATCAAAGTGTCTGCTATTTGTATGGCTCTGTGGAAAATTCTGGGAATACAGAGATATGAGGCATAATCTCTACTCTCCGGAAGCTTATAGTATAATCAAGACAAGTAGAGGTGTAAAGAAGATTGTGTGTTATAAGCTATACTAAAAAGTCACAGGTCAAGCCATGTTCTTAAATCCAGCTTAACTAGTAATAAAGATGACTTTGATACAACTTCTGACTCCTCTTAGTGGTTCCAAACATGGAGAGAGGCAATGATTAGTCCCCATAACCAGCACTACAATCCAAGGAGGTGATGAAAACCAGCCTTTTATACTTCATAAAGTATTTTCCCATCCCAAATGCCTTTTGTCATCCTGGCAACCCTGTGGATAGGCATCATTTTTGTCACCATGTTGCCATTAAGGAAATAGAAACCCAAAGAATCCAAATGTACTTAAGATCCCACAGGGAACTTAGACTGAAGTCTACTTACTCCAAGCTCAACATCTTCTCAGAATGTGACAGCCTCCCATATTTTACCTAAGTCACAGTTCTTGCAATGGGAAAACTGTGAGACCCACTGAGGATAGTTGTTTCATCTGATTGTGTGTTTTTTCTTCTTGGAGTTTTTCAACTTCAGTCACTGAGCAGCTTTGATGGTTGGTCTTTTCGTCCACCACCACCCATTTCTGGGTCTGCTTAAAGAAATAAAGTAAACAATGGCAGGATAGAGGTATTGGCTCCCAAATCAGATATTAGCTGGGTGAAATTAGGGTAAAGAAATGTTGCAACCCATTGAGGCAATGGGCCGTTCCTTTTATAAGCTGATGAATCTGTAGTTCATTTAGCCTCATTATTTCTTAGTTAGCAAGCTCTGGTTGTGCCATCCTTATGGCTTTATTTTTAGAAGTCGTAGATTATTATAGCAACTGTGAAAAAGGATGGGAAACGAAATCTGGCTCCCAGTATACATCCTGCTTATTTCTTGAATTAAATTTATCTTCATCTAGCCCTCGGAAGATGTTTCACCCACCCCTGCCACTGAT